ATCACTCCTCCCTGAGAGAGACTTCACCCTGATTCATAAGGAAAAGGGGATGGCGTATTCTCTTAGCTACTTCCTGCTGAAAAGAGACGCTGTGGCTTTCAGGGTATTTTTATAGTTTGTTTTTAAAATCTTAGTCATCCTAGCGGAAGGGAAGTGACAAGTCCCTCTGATTGTGCTTTTGGGGTTTCTTTCTAATGGCTAATGACTTGAAACACTTTTGTCTCACTGCCAGTTTAATTCTACTAGTGTCTCTGCAAAAGAAATCGGAACAATCTCTTCCCTTGTGATTTATAGCTTCTGAAACCCTTGTGAGAGTCATCTATGAGGGCATTAAGCTGACTAGAATGTCTTGACATTTCTATAGCTTCTTTGGTGTTCTGTCTATTCAAGTCCTTTGCTTTTATAAAAATTTGTCCTTTTCCTTTCCATGCATCCTGATTTTTTAAATGAATTGTATCTTGAGAAATCGTTTAAATAAAATTAGTGTTATGCACAATTAAACAATCAGTAAGTACACTCATTTTAGCTCTATATTGCGGTGATTTTGATAGTAATCTACTCTACTCTCTTGTGATGGCTATTTAGGTTTTTTCAGATTCTAGCTATTATAAAAGCTGCTGTGAACTTCTATACATAGTTCTTTCCAGGAGCTTAGACTGTCATTTCTCCCAGCATGGCCCTCAAGAATGAAATTGCTGCTCCAGAGGGAGATCTGGAGACAAAGGGAAGAGCACTGACACCCCCACCCCGGAGTGTGCGATTCTAGGGAAGAAGGGGACTCCATGAGAAGGAATCTTATTATTTAAGCTGTGGATGTTTATCAAAGACGATTACCCATCCTCACCACCAAAATATAAATTTGAGTCTCCTCTCCTCCACCCAAATGTGTACCCCCTGGTCACTTGTCCATCCTGGAGAAGGACAAGGACTGGAGGTAGGCTATCACCATCAAATAGATCCTGTTAGGAATACAAGAGCTCCTAAATGAACCTAAAATCCAAGACCTGGCACAAGCGGAGGCCTACACGATGTACTGCCAAAACAGAGTGGAGTATGAGAAAGGGTTTCGAACACAAGCCAAGAAATTTGCCCCCTCTTAAGCTTTATTTACAATACATTTGCAAATCTGAGCCTGTTCTGTATAGTTCGTTACCTGGGGGAGGGCAGGCGGGCGTCATTCTTCACCTTGGCCATTGGTCCTGTGTAGATTTTCTAACCTACCCCATTTTTTATACAGGATCTCTTTCCTTTCGTCTTTTGTATTTTTGATTGTTATATAAAGTTTGTTTTTGTTTTATTTTTGATGTCAATATTTCAACGGCTGTAAAATGATAAACTTTTATATTTCAGTAAACTCTAGTTGCTTGCTCCCCTCTCTCTGGAAAGCAGGCATGCCTCATGTTTCGGCTTTCCCTGGTGATCTTAACCAGATTCCTGTTTATCTTTCCCAGAGATTGATTGTGTTTCTCTGAACCACAAACTCAGTCAGCTACCCTGGTTCATCTAATAAATATTGTGCTTGTTGTTGTTATGTGCCGTCAAGTCGTTTGCAACTCATAGTGACCCTATGTACAACAGCCCTGCTCTATCCTGTGCCAATTGCACTGCCCATTCCGATTACCCCAGTCACTGAATCAATCCACCTCATAGAGGGTCTTCCCCTCCTGCCCTGTCCCTAAAAATATTTATTATGATATCAAGAAATAAAATGATATTTCTATTATATTAAAATAATATTGATGTTAGTCTGGGCAAAGAGGGAAAAAGAGAAGAATGAAGAATTCAGAACTTAAATGTGGATGGCCTTTCCTGATGCTGATAAGAAGAGCAAACAGATTTGCATGTCTGGCTGAGCTAGCAGGTGGCTCATAAACCAGAATAGAATGTCCCTTCCTAAAGACTCTGTTTATAAAGATCCTCCCAAGTAAGTTCACAGTGTAACTTCCCATTCTGCCTCTCCAGGACGAGGAACTCACCAGGAAGCTTCCCTTCCTCCCCTTTAATAAAGCTGCATTAAACTTTCTCCCGTTCTCTTGGATTTCTTCTTTGAGTCTACTAACCTAACAATTATTATCATTATTATTTGTAGAGAAGCCAATAAAAAGAAACATTGAAGTAAAAGAGCTGAACAGAACATTTGAAAGTCAGCTCAAGAAAGCAATAATGAAATGTTGAGAGAACTGGAATTGGGAAGGACTCACTTGGCATTTATTAAATTGAAAGAACGGAAAACCAAATTCAAGACTCGAGGTGCATTATTGAATCATGCTGTTAGTAAAATCTTTTTTTTTTAAATTAATTTTAGTGAACATTTACAGAGATTTTGGATTTCCATGCATTCATTGTTGCATTTTTCTCCCTGCCCATCCCTCACCCCAGTTTGCACTTGAAAAGTAAAAGAAAAATTATTTAATTGGTATAGAATTTCTCCTCCTTCCCACCACCCCCCAGTACACTCCACTATGCAACCTTCATTCTGGACTTTTGTCATAACGATAATACCCAATCATATATCGCTTTGAAACAGTTCTCTCCCTCGTCTGTTTTAATACAGTATACATAATTTAGGCAATCTTTCTCAGTCTCACCCCAACCCTAATGTAATCCCGTTCTACAATAGTCGCACCATGCAGCACCTGCCCTTTTGTGACTGATATATTTCACTCAGCATAATGTCCTCCAATGTCATTCATTTTGAATAATATTGCATGAGTTCCTTGTTTGTTTGTTTTTTATTCTATTATTTTTTTATGTGTTCCGTCAAATTGGATCTGACTGGTGCAGGAGGAGATTGCCCCTCCAGCTCCAGCAGAGCATCTAGTGGATTCAAACCATGTACCTCTGGGATTGCAGTGCAGCTTCTTGCCACTAGGCTATCAGAGCTCCCTGAGTTCCTTGTTTTTCAATGCAGCATAGGATTTCATTGTGTGAATATACCACAGCTTCTCTCTCCTTTTGTTTGTTGATGGACACTTAGGTTGTTTCCAACTCTTTGCTATTGTGAACAAAGCTGCAATAAACAAGGGTGCGCATTTATCTGCCTGGGTGGCAGTTATGGTTTCTTTAGGGTATATTCCAAATACTGGATTGCTGGGTCAAATGGCATTTCTATTTGCAACTTTTTTGAGAGAGCGCCATACAGCCTTCCATAGTGGTTGC